TATTACTTTTCTTAAGATTCTTTTGTATTCTTGGAAGTAGACATGGAAACCGGGTGATAAGTTATGATGTTTAGAAATAAAGTAAAGCGTACGTTTGGTTTTACATTTATAAAGCGTACGTTTGTTTATCTCTTGTCCGTTTCAATTATTTTTTTTTTCCTTTTTCTTTTATATTTCACACTTGCTTTCAATGTTGACTTTTAGCCTCCATCATGATTGAGGTTTTTTCTGGGTTAACTCACTGCTTAAGGCATATGCCGGGATGGTCCTAAGTCTCGTATTCTAGAGGTAAATATAAAATATACCCCCTTTTCTGGTTGATTGACTAGTATAAATGACGTATTCTAGAGGCAACTGAACTTCAGGCAAAACTTGGATAATTTATTTTATTAGTGATAAGTAGTAGCTCACTCTCATCTCATCCTTAAGAATTTTCCTTGCTTCATGACCCTCTCTATATTGTAAGTATTTTCAATAATAAGCAACAATTGACAATAAAATTAACTTTTTAGTAATGGCTTGCATAGGTAATTTCATGTAGATGATATCACCGGAGTAAATGTTCTTTCTTTCATGAAATGCCAGTTAATATTGTCGTCCGTACGTTACAACTGTAATTTTTGTATATAAAGAGCAATCACTACGATCTGAGTCTCACCTCAAAATTATTATTATTATTATTATTATTATTATTATTATTATTATTATTGTCGTCTACCTGAAAAGAAGACTAAAGTTAAGACCCATTATGGCAAATACCGCGACCGCTCAAAAGTAGTACTTGACGACACAGTGATTGATCAGATTTAAAATTTCAATTATCTTCGTTGTGATATCATTTATGACATGGACAAAAACATTGAAAATGAAACGAATAAATATCAGTGTTTGGAATAATAAACAAAACTCTTCAGAATAAATAAATGAAAGACATAAAAATGAAATTTTATAAGACAATCGATGGTTCAATTTTCCTGTATGGAAGCGAATCATGGATAATTAAAAAGAGAGATCAAAGCACAAAGTTCAATCAGCAGAAATGAGATTTGGCAAGAAAGCTAAAGACTGCTTAAAACAAGATCATATAAAAAACGAAGATATCCGAAAAGAACTGAATATACACAATATAATTGAAAGATATAAGAATTCAGCTAATTATGAAATCACCATATTCAAAGAATGAAGAAAGAATTCCACTACTAGCGATGAAGCATCATTTGAAAGGACGAAGAGATGTCGGGAGACCCAGCAAGATGTGGTCTGGAAGTGCAAGTGAAGACGGAACAGGCAATAGTGCCTAATCCTTGAATGGAAGAAGATTATTATTCTTATAATTATTGTTATTAATTTAGCAATTCTCACTCTGCCCCGTTCTGCCCATCCCACTCCACTATCTTCCTTCTAATCCCCGCCCCTCTTCCCCCCTATCTCATCTGCCCGACCATGTTTTCATGATCTTCCGTGCCACCACCACAGCTGCTACGAGCAGTTGTAAACAGATGCATTGTTGCGTACCTGCGTGAAACACACAGTAGGAAATTGTATGGATTTTCAAATACTTTTAATTAAGGTTGGTGAATTTACTGTTTTTGAGATATTTCCGAGTAACGGATAAGCACGAGTGCTCTAAGGGTAAGAAAAAGGGGATAGGAGTATTTTTTTTACAAAATATCACACAGATAATTTCTCTGTTATTGCGAAAGCCATATGTAAAAAAAAAAACTGTATTTAAACAAAACAAACATTTTTTACGTAATAGAAAATAATGATTTTGAAAAAGTAGCTTAATTCATGCACAACAAAACGCTGTACCTTTCATTGAAAAATAGTTATTTATGCACTGAGAGCGTTCGTTATAAGGGTTCTAATGATCGAGCGGTGATATAAAGCCCGAGGCCTTTGTCCCAATATTTCCCTCCCCTCTAATTTTAATGGTTCAGATTTACTTCCTTCCCAGGCGCGGTTCTGGAGGGAAATGGCACCCCCCTCCCCCGTGCGCCCTCCAATTTTTGTCTGGAATTATGAATTTTAACTTGTCACGAAACTTCCAAGCAAAAATATTTTCGGATAATCAGTAAAAGGAATAAAATCGTATCGAAGCCGCTGAAGCAGCCTACGACACTTTACAAAATCTATAATGACACATTCGCCCAAAACATTTTTAATTCCCCCTCCCAAATTTTGCTTCTGGAATCGCCCCTGTATTTACTAATTAACAAGAAGTTAACTTCACTCGGTTTGTCTTTTCATATTTCCCTGCCATAATTCCCCTCTCGCAGTTCCTTCCATAAGAACGTGTAGCATCACTCAATTGTTTTCATATTTTCCTCGTAACCACGATCCTCTCGATCCAGGTACGTTTTACAGTGAATATCGAACTCCGTATCGAAGGCAACAACAAGCAATGACGTACCAGTAAAAAATAATGACTTTAGGAAGTCGGGCTTCTTTAAATTGCGCTGCCTAGTACGCTGAGCAGGTGATGTGGAATAAGTGAAAATGCGAAATTTTACTGCGGAAAATTGTGAGATCGACCTGAATTTCTCACCATGAATGTCCGAACAATAACATAGTTGCTTTAAACAATTAAAATGCTTTCTCGCTTCTTGACTCCCAAAATGACCGGAAAGTCAATAATCCCGAAATGACAAAACCATCTTTAAATCTTCGCAAAAAGAAATGCACAAGGTAATTTTTAGAGAATGTATTTGCACCAAGAAGTCATGACAAAAGTTGAGCTGTTCCCCTGTATAGCTCGTGCGTGAACATTGAGATCATTGAGGTTAATGTCCTTAATTGCTTGGTCTGGATATTATGACCTAACACTAAGACATTACCCTACAAGCAGGAACGCTGTGAAAGAATAGTTGTTTAAGAAGAATAAAATAGCCATACTAAGCTGGCGTTAATTCACAAAAAATATAGAACTTACGTTCAGAGGAGTATGTGTCTTTTTCAACAGGTTAGTTCAGGTCAACAAAAAGATCTCTCGAATTATAGCATCAAGTTCTGTGCAAATTAACCTGTAAACATACAATAATTTGCGAAACTACTGTCATATTCTAAATTACATTGAGTAAACAATTGTTGCAACTAGTCAGATCTCTTGAATATTTTATTGATATTTAATTATCTGAAGTCACTAGAGCAGCCTCAACATTAGGTATTTTTTGAAGGCCATACAAAATTCACGACCAGAAGCTCCAGCCTCCAGCTTCGATAATATCTAACATATTATGTTCTTAAATGAGACAAGATCTTACCGTACGTCTACGGAATTTTGTGGCGTAATTTTCACTTTACACATTATCAGCACATTAACAAATTGACATCTAAAACTTTGCCATTTTGCAGGTGAACAGTTTAACTCTGAGCTGAGCAGTTTATTTCGCAACGTAAGATTCAAAAGTTGTTTTGAGAAATCAGCTGCATTGTGTACCATCTATTATACATTTTTATCGTAAAATATACTATTTTCCAAACATATTTCTTCACTTCAATCTAAAATTTGTTTTGAGATTTATCACTTTTTTGGGCTCCGACGATCTATGCTTTCGTTAAAGGAACGTACATGGTTATTTTTAGAGCGACCACGTGCAAGTGATTACTTCCCGACAAAAAGGGGACCCCCCACCCCCCACCCCCGCTCCTTGAGTGGCCGACTGAACGAATACCTGCTACGGGGCAGCAGCAGGCCACCTGAGCAGGTGCGTCCCTCTTACTTCCAACGCCACTCCTGAAATATTGCTGAATTTCGTCTGAAGAAATGCACTAGGATACTTCGCTTTATGTTATAACATTTTCTTGAATAGAGCTGCACTCGAGGGAAGGCCGGGCACTGCATTCGTGTGCGTGAATGTGCAGGTGTGTGCGTGTGTGTGTGTGTGTGTGTGTGTGTGTGTGTGTGTGTGCACATAAGTGTACTTTTAGGTACGAGTATGTGCTTATACATGTGCGTATGCTATGCATGCACAAATGCATACATGGCTGTATGTATGTTATGCATTCATGCCCGCACGCATATATTCTGCATGCAGGCATGTATGTTATACACGAATATAAGCTATATAAAATCCAATAAACCGTCAGCTCCAAGCCTGGCATTAGCTCCGTCTCTCGTGTAAACGTTTCTCTCAAATGCTAACTCCTCGAGTTTACACCAGTGTCACGACAAAGCACCGAATGCGATGAACTGGTACACTCCAGGTCACCATCACAAGCGCATCTCAGCATCCCAAAACACGTGTTCGAAGCATACACACGCCTGCTCGGTAAGGAGCTAAATCTGTTCGAACCCCCAACCATGCGGCGTCACTCGCGCAGCCACTGCGCCCAAGCGCCTCAAACCTGTTCTCGAAGTGGAATCACCTGCGCAGTGGATTTCCAATTGACTCGACTCCTCACCACCCGCAGAGGCCGCCTTCGCCGAAGCCTCTTATGAACTCAAGTGCATGAGTGCTCTCCTGCAGTGCTAAGAGGCGTGCAATTTATCAGATCAAGTGATATTTTCTAAGTCTTTGGAATCGCTTTCTAACTCTTTTACTACACAAACGCAACTGGCGAGGCGCCAACTCCTATCAAATCGCGTTTGAAGGGCCGTCACTGTCACTAACAATCCTAATCAACTTGTATATGTTAGACAGTAGCCTACCGCGCCAAATGTACATATTTTGGTACCTTCAAACAGATTTTACGGAAATAGTCGAGAGCACGCGCTAGAAACGTAGTCACCCGCTGGACCGCATGGACTTTATGTATTCTTCGTAAGACATTCCATCCCCTGCCTATCCACTGTTTCCCATACGTACTCTAATTTTCAATATGAAGAAGGATCGAGCTTTGTTGATAATATGTCTCGTCACAGGGTAAAAAAGTGCATAAGCCCTTATTTTAAAAAAAACGATTTACTTGAGAATTTTCACTGTGCGACCACAGAATTGTGAACACGAAACGTTCGCTCGTGCGTAAAAAGCCACCACTGGCGGGCGTCTGGCACTCACCTGCGGCGTGGCGAGGTGCTGGATCTCGGTCTGGTCGAGGCCGTTACTGGCGTAGAGGCCCGAGAGCGTGGCGTGCGCGCCCTGCGCTAGCGCCAGCGCCAGCAGGGCCAGCGCCAGGCCTAGCGCCAGGGCGACCCGCGCCGCGGCGCTCACCGACGCCCGCGCCGCCCCCATCTACGCTGCGTCTGCTCAGGTCGCGCGCTGCGCGCTCACTGGCGTCGCATGGCCTGCCGCCGCCGAGACGCGGGAAAACGGCGGTGGGGCAAGGGGCGGGGTGCGCGCCGGCGAATGACGCGCGGGGGGAGGGGGAGACGCGGGCGGGCGCTGTATGGGGCGGGCAGCAGGCGGACCAGGCGATCGCCGCGCTGTGGAGGGGGCAGCACTAGCCGCGTGCCGTGCCCCCCCCCCAGCCGCTCCCCGTCGCAATGCCCTTTAAGCCCGCCACGTGCCGGGCGCCCTTTTTCCTGGAATGCGGGGTGACCAGAAATGGCAATGAAACGTCTAGACAATGAAAAGGGACTCTTGGAGTAATCGCGAATATACCGGAAACGTCGAAATGATAAGCGTGGGTAAGCAAGACGAACGAAAATAACAATTATCCTAACACAATCCCCTATACATTTTAAAACTTCCGGTTCTTACTTTCTCCTATATTACACTTACCTATAAAGCACTTACTTTCTCCTATATTTGGTAACGGTTACAAAGTTTTGCGACAATAACTCCACTAATACTTCAGTCATCATGTCAAACGATGAAATTCAAAATTACGCAAAAACTACTAATATTTTGAAAAAGTTTACATAAAATTATTTAAATTCAGATATCTAAAATTAAGAAATAGATTCCGTTCATAATGAAATATTTAATTGATAATGTGTTTCCCTATATGATATTAACAGTTATTTTCTGGATCTATTAACGATATAGCAATAAATAATTTCAATATAACAATAAATAAATTTATTGGAGCTATTAGCCATAAAATAATGGTGCTGCAACAGCATGCGCTTTCTCTGACTATTTATAACGTCTGCGCAGTAAATGATACTACGTGAACCTGTAAAAGTGTTTCCAATCATATGTTATTTCCACGCCCAGATTCGAACGCAGGTTAGGTTTAGCACGCCATTCACGATACTCAACACCACCATTCACACAGAAAAACAATATTCCCGAAGTTTTAAAAGAAGGTTGAGAAAGTTGAACATTTACATTAGCAATTTTCAAAAATTCAGAGAATTCCATTGACATTATTACAATATTTAAATTTAAAGAATAATTTTTGTTGGAAAAAATATCTATCTTCAATATTGAAGTTGTAGAAAGACGCCGAAAAAACTAAACTCTTGATATATTCTTAATACAAAGAGTTCTACGAAAAGGGGATCTGCACTATTTTTATAAGAGCATTTTGTTCTATTGGAGAAAAAATAAGTAAAGTTGAGAGCCGTTTTTGAGAATTTATTTTTTCATTGTCTTTATTTCGAAAAAAAATCCACGAAAACTATTTATATTTTTCCCGTTTAGTTAAATAAATATACTCGTTAATTCCATAAAAAATCGTTGAATATTTCTATGATAATGGCAGCGTGCAATTTAAATTCCACCGTGCAATTGAAACTTCACACTTACAAATCAGAATTCAGAAAAAGAAACCAAATCGTTTAATTAAAAAACTATTACACAGACGTAGCCAAGGTATTCCCAGTCGGCCATGCAATATGAACAAAAATGTACATCATTGATTTCGTACCTACAAGAACTACATATAAACAACGGATGAATAAAACTAAATTGGTGAAGTAAACGTGAAGCTAGTAGACTAATAGAACAACATAAAATATTTAATATGAATAAATTAAATGTTTAACACGTAAAACATTTCGTCTAGGGATTACAAAAAAAAATGTAAACGTCGGTAGTGTTTATATGTTCTACAACGTATGCTATAGCAAAACTGTGTTAGAAATGTCTAGCTTTGGTTTACTTCCCAATACGTGAACATGTTGTATTCTCTCTCTTACCTGTCTACTTTTCGCGGGAAGTAATGTTTTCATGACTTTATCAGCTTCTGCTAATATTTTATCCCGAATCTGATCAGTACCTTCCATTTGCAAATATTTCTTCCAAACAAACAATGCAAAGCCCACTAAAATATATATTTTTCAAAAGCGACGTCATCAAATGTATACCTCAAATGGTAAAGATAAGCTTGAATCCCCAAAATGTATATTATTCTGAAATGGAAACGAAAAAACATTGAACGTAACATGTAGATAAATGGGTATAATTGCTCTCGTGGTAAATAAGAAAACTTGCTCCTATTATCGCTCGTTTTCGTGAACAAACTACTCATGAACTTATACCCCTCTTTATCCACTCGTTTCGTTAATTACTATAAAAAAATTGAACATGAACAAATTTAACGATATGTTTCTAGAACAGATTTTATTAAGTAAAAATAGCTGTCATCAATATTCTACATTTACAATTTTGAACTATTTTTAATTTTAAAAATTCATAGAATTCACCGAAAATGTAATTTGTGTCATCTTTTATAAGCGTACTTTGCTCTTTTCGGAAAAAAATTCTAAAAAATGTAAAGCTGGTTTAAAGGAAATATTATTTTTGAAATTGTCTACAGTCCAGGCAAAATTACACGAAAACTACACATATTTTCAAAATTTGGCGTCTATGGGTTAAAGAAAAAAATGGAGCCATTTTTGAGAACATAATTGTTTAAAAATTACCTGAATTTTACTCTAAATTATGTGAAAACTACACACATTTTTAAAAAATGTACTTGATCCTATTCAATTTCACGATCTATCAAGTGGTTGTAGGAAAACAAAATTTTAAACTTTTGCAGATTCCAAAAATTCAGGAACTTCAATGAAAATGAGACCTGTATCATTATTTTAAGCGATAATTGGACTATTCGAGAACAAAATTTAATTAAAAAAAATTGAGCTATTTTTTAAAATATTATGAAGATTTTTTAAGACTTCAAGTAACGAAACTCCATTAATCAAAATAACTATTTCAAACTCGCAGGACTTTTAGTTTGTTCAGAACGATTAAAGGGACTTATCAATTTTGGAGAAATTTTGGTTTAGGTGCTTGCGTGAAATAAAGAAGAATGAACGAACGAACAGATAATGTCGGACAGATGGACTGACATTTTGCCGACAATTGATTTTTCGGAATGAAGAATCCTCAAAACATAGGTTCTCACTACACAACTTTGTAGAGGAAATAATTTATTACATATAGGAACAATATGAACCCACTATTTCGTTTCTAGGGCCCAAGAATAAAACAATTTCTGTTCAAAAGTTGACGATTTCTGACGCTGGATCACAATACTTTATTTTTATGAATTATGTAGCAAGGCGAGAAAGAAAAAAATCTAACTCTCTATTACAGTTGAAGGAAAGCAGCGAACAAATTTTGAAAACTTCGCTCTATGCGGAAAAAAATGTTTTCCAAACATTTCGTGCCCATTTTGAAATATTTTCTTTCGGCAGGTGGATAAAGAATCGTTTAATTTTCATGTGACCTGCCGAAAACCAGAAATACGAGAAACATGTGGTTGCTTAGAAATCAGGAGCAAATCCCAATGTATAAATGCAGATAACTACACATGTTATATGAAATTTCTCACTGTATACAAAAAGGTAATTTTCGACTCCACTACATACTCTACAAGTTTTGTAACATTTATTCTGAGCTGTCCTGTAAATAAAGCAGATTAAACACACATTTCACAAACTGTTGCTTCTCAGGCAAGATGCGAGTATTATGAGCGGTTTAGTGTGTAAATGTAATTCACGGGGGACTCGTAATGCCCCACACACCCTTCACCCAAAAATGCCTGCCTCACACGGGTTTCAAAACCACTGCCTTTTTGGCTATGCACATCGGCTCACTTCCCCAAGCCCCTGCCTCATGAGACCGAAAAACTTGACCGATATATGAGTATAATCAAGCATTTTAAGGTACAACACTAGCATACCCGTGCGAGAACTCTCGTATGTTAAATTATACCCTCTTTCCTATCTTTCCCTTTCCGCATTAAGAGGGAAAGTTGTTAAGGAAACGTTTATTTGTTTAAAAATTTAAAAAGTTAACTTCAAACGTTCTTACAGAATTTAAAATTAAAATACAGAACAATGAAATTGATATTTGAAATAAATTTTGAATAAAAATAATTTTATTCAGTATTATAGACATGTTTTTCGACAAGTCATAACACTTCCTTAAAAACATTTGATGTAATTAAACAATCTTCCTTGACGGTTAGCTTTTCGCTTTCCTTAATAATCTCAAAAAAAATTACAAAAGCGCTTTACTCTCGAGAAAGCTACGTAAATACATGATCGGGCAAGGACAACTATATTCCTTGGAATATTATTTAACTTTATTTACCGAACTGAGAGGTACACCCTTACATCCGTTTAATTGACTAGAATATTCAGTAATTAGTTTAATTTTCATACAGTTGCATATTATGTACGTATCTGATCAGATCGGGTAGTAACGAGAAGCGCCGGACCAGCAAAATATAATAGAATGTCCTAGAAGGTCTCGCCCTTTATATTACAGTGCGAGTAGCCTTTATTAGTGACTTTTGGCTTCAAAATTCCAGATGTTATGGTCCTAGAACGTTTCATTGAAGAGTTATTCAAATAAATATATTTTAATAATTCTGCCCGAGTGTTGCGGGTTGCATTTGACACGAATATTTAGAAATATTTTTTAATTAAATCCTTCATGTTTTTAAAGTCAAATTGCAAATCGTCAAGTCTTCGTGAAGTTCTCTTTCTTTAGAGTCCTCATTTATGAAGATCGATTGCGTGTGCGCAGAACTCAACTATATTACTTAAATAATATAGGAGAGGATTTTATGCAATGCAAACAATAAAACGAGATAAAGTACATTTGGACTATCATAAGATGTACCAACTATATTTACACTCTCTTTCAATGATTAATAAAACGATCTTTTTAATAATAAATTTAACTTGCTTGCACATAACATCTATGTAATTATTTTACTGACGAGCACAGCAGGTACACTTTTATAAGGTCACGCTTATAAAGCTTAGATTCCTCTATCTTATACTATTTACGCTTTCTGTGTACAACGTGGTTTGTGCAGACTGACGTATAATTATTAATTCAAGATTCGCTCTCGCAGCAACAACTAGG